GCGCCCCCACAGGCTGGGAGCCAGCCCCAGTGCGGGGCTGGGGGCTGCTCCAGCCCGGATTTCGCGCCAGGCGTTTAACCGGGCGAGCCCGGAGGTTTAACGTTTAACCGGCTGGCGGGCTGGCTGGGATTTCGCCTCCGAGTGTGCATCCCTTTGGCAATCTTAGCCATGTCTGCAGCAGCTGGAGAGGGATGCTCCCTGCGGTGGGGGCAGAGAGGCCTGGGCTCCAGGAGGGGAGGAGGAATAAGCTGGGCCAAATGGTCAGAGCCGTCTCTGGAGCCTGCAACTATTTCCAGTCGTCTCTGGGGGCCTATTCGAAACCCCAGGATGTTCAAGCTGGAGTGTGCATCCCTTTGGCAATCTTAGCCATGTCTGCAGCAGCTGGAGAGGGATGCTCCCTGCGGTGGGGGCAGAGAGGCCTGGGCTCCAGGAGGGGAGGAGGAATAAGCTGGGCCAAATGGTCAGAGCCGTCTCTGGAGCCTGCAACTATTTCCAGTCGTCTCTGGGGGCCTATTCGAAACCCCAGGATGTTCAAGCTGGATAGCACCAGCTCTGTTGGCTGCTTGTCAAGAGGCTGACTTGTCACTTGGGAGTGCTGCTACATACATTGCAAATCAGAATACACACTCAGCCAATGCTCTCTTTAATGTTTTCCATCCATGTGCAGAATAAATTTTATGTGCACAAAGGCATGTGCAGATATGCAGGAACGGCAGAAAAACATGCTGCCAGCTATAGGTACTCTGCCAATCAGATGGGTGGCATTTGAATCTTTGCTGAGCGGCGGGGGTGGGAGGGTGGCGGCATCTGAACACTTAGCTTACAGCAGAGGTGGGGAACCTTTTTGGCTCAGGGGTTGCTGACCCACAGAAAAATCAGTCGGGGTCTGTACACAAGTGAGAAGCAGTATAGTAAGAAGTAGTATAAAAGGTTCTGATCATGCAAATGCTTGCACAGAATACATAAACAAACAAAAAGTACATTCTGAGTCAAGATATTTTTAGTCTCATGCATGGTAGGGGTGAGACATATGCCCATATATATAGCCCTTTATGATATTTATAGATATCTCATTCCTAACTGTTCTTTTGTTGTAGAAATGGTTTAAACAAGAAAATCAAGCATCCCAAAATCAAAAGTGAAAAAACCATGCAAAGAATGTAAATATATTTGAAGAGTTGGCTGAGGAATCCTTTGAGGTGAGTGGAAAGTATAGAACCTTCAGGAGGTAAGTGGGTTCAGATGTGCATTCTGTGGAGGTGCATTGTGACAAAACACTGGTATATTGCCAGTGTGCCAGAAAGTATGGTCTGAATTTAAGAGACCATAGCAAAGGGGTATCTGTAAGAGATCAAAAGGAAGGAAAAGCTTATGATTTTTCTGATCCCACTTGTGTCAGGAACCTAGTTCTTGCTTCATGTGCGTTACTTGCCTTTAGATAAGATCTGTTTTTTTAAAATTGATCACACACAGAAATGATTTAAATTCTATGTAGCTTCTAGATTCCTTTTGAATGAGCATTTAATTCAGTGAAGTTGTGTGTAATTAAAGACAGGAAATAGCTAATTGAGACTGTTTATTAGAACTAATAGAATAGAGCACTATAAGGAACACTGTAGTGATCATGTACTATTGTAACTAGAGATAAGTGAATATTTACTGAAGTTAAACTGTGTTAAGCAACTGTAGCTTGAACATCCCTGGTTCAGCACCTTCAGGACCTGACTGGTGCCGGACCAGGAGATGTCAATTGCAGACCCTCTGCTGCCACAGTCTGTTGGGTTCTTTTATGATGGCAGCAGAGGGGCCAGCATGGAGGGAGTGGGAATGGGGAGTGCTTGGTAGAAGAGTCAGGGAGAGTGTGGTGCCTGTGGCCAGCATCGGATTCCTGCAGCTGCTGGTCTGCGCTCCTGGCCCCTGTGTGCCTGCACCCCTGGCCATGGGGCACCACACCCATCCTGTACCTTTCCCTGAGTGCCCCCCATCTCCACACCTTCCTTTTCATCTCTGAGCTTAAACACTGCAAGTGGGCTATTTGTGGCACTCTGCAAGCTCTGAGAGGAAGGGAGAGGAGTTGCTGAGTGCAGGGCCTCCGGCTGTTCCCCGTGAGTGCTCCGATCCCGGACCACTCATGGATGCTGGATTACAGATGTTGCTGGATGAGGGAAATCCGGTTTATAGAGGCTTAACCTATTCTGCTTCATGGAAATTATATTGTGAAATAAATGGAGCAGAATTATATTCTATGTTTTGGTTATGTATTAAGGGATGTCAGTGGTTAACTGGTGGCAGCTGGAGCAGCCCTCAGGAATCTGCTCCAACTCAGCCGGAGCAGGCTCTGACCGCAGCGAGGAAACCGCTTCCCCCGCCCACCCCATTTAATTGGTTTACCGGCTAAACTTAATGTTTAACTAATTAAACAAGATTTTGCATCCCTATTGCATACACAAAATATTTTACAGGCAGTCCCCGACTTACGCGGATCCGACTTATGTCGGATCCGCACTTACGAACGGGGCTTTCTCGCCCCGGAGCTCACAGGTAGCAATCCGCCACCTCAACCTCCGGGGCGAGAAAGCCCCGTTCGTAAGCTGCTCCGGTGCCCCTGGTCTGCTGGAGACGGTCTCCAGCAGACCAGGGGCACCGGAGCAGCTTACGAACGGGGCTTTCTCGCCCCGGAGCTCACAGGTAGCAATCCGCCACCTCAACCTCCGGGGCGAGAAAGCCCCGTTCGTAAGCTGCTCCGGTGCCCCTGGTCTGCTGGAGACGGTCTCCAGCAGACCAGGGGCACCGGAGCAGCTTACGAACGGGGCTTTCTCGCCCCGGAGCTCACAGGTAGCAATCCGCCACCTCAACCTCCGGGGCGAGAAAGCCCCGTTCGTAAGCTGCTCCGGTGCCCCTGGTCTGCTGGAGACGGTCTCCAGCAGACCAGGGGCACCGGAGCAGCTTACGAACGGGGCTTTCTCGCCCCGGAGCTCACAGGTAGCAATCCGCCACCTCAACCTCCGGGGCGAGAAAGCCCCGTTCGTAAGCTGCTCCGGTGCCCCTGGTCTGCTGGAGACGGTCTCCAGCAGACCAGGGGCACCGGAGCAGCTTACGAACGGGGCTTTCTCGCCCCGGAGCTCACAGGTAGCAATCCGCCACCTCAACCTCCGGGGCGAGAAAGCCCCGTTCGTAAGCTGCTCCGGTGCCCCTGGTCTGCTGGAGACGGTCTCCAGCAGACCAGGGGCACCGGAGCAGCTTACGAACGGGGCTTTCTCGCCCCGGAGCTCACAGGTAGCAATCCGCCACCTCAACCTCCGGGGCGAGAAAGCCCCGTTCGTAAGCTGCTCCGGTGCCCCTGGTCTGCTGGAGACGGTCTCCAGCAGACCAGGGGCACCGGAGCAGCTTACGAACGGGGCTTTCTCGCCCCGGAGCTCACAGGTAGCAATCCGCCACCTCAACCTCCGGGGCGAGAAAGCCCCGTTCGTAAGCTGCTCCGGTGCCCCTGGTCTGCTGGAGACGGTCTCCAGCAGACCAGGGGCACCGGAGCAGCTTACGAACGGGGCTTTATCCACTTTCTGATTAAAATACATCAGATATGTGCATGGTCTTTGTCAGTAACACAGCATTTTGTAGATATAACCTACCCATTTGCTTTGATTGTATTTCTGACTTAGCTACCTAGCCACAAAAGAACAAGATTTTATTCATAAGAATTCTTGCTGGAAGCAAAATCTCTCAAATCCTACCAGGAAAAATCTATTTACAAGAGCATTTGTATTGGGACTACTCTCTTGCAAAGCTGTTTTAATTATTCTCACATTAGTCTGACACACATATTCACAAATAATTTGTGAACAGAAAAAGGAATTCAGATTTATGAAGTTTAGGCCATCTGATCAGGGAGCAGACACAATAGCTTGTGACTTACATGACTAGGTCATGTAGTGTGTATAGCAAAGTCATTGCAGCGAGTTCATGAACCTTTTTTCACAGGATTTATGCACAAAGTATTGAACACTTGTCAAAATAAGCAAATTAGTATTTATTAGTAATACTACCATTCAAATAGGTCCTAGCTCAGATTGGAGCCCTTGTTTTAAGCATTGATCACACAATGAGAGATAGTAAATGCCTTGATGAGCCTACAGCCTAAATATTCTTGATGGACAAAGAGAGTGAAAAGGGAATTAAAACATGACCTTTCACAAGGTTATCCAGCAGGTGGTGACCAAGCTGGGAATCCTGACTCCTAGTCTTGTCAACTAGCTACTGTCTTTTATACAATGCATAACCTTTTCATAGAGCATTCACAAAAAGAAAAAAAAGTCTGATTTCACTGGCTAAACTATTTGCAGCAAACCATTTGATATAGTCTAGTCAATAATTAAAATGTTTTTTTAGTTTAAATCAGGAATCACTTTTTAATATATTTCATTCCCATTTTTCAGGAGGTGTGAATGGAGTCTGAATATCTGAAGAGATGCCTAGGGATATGCTTGGCAAAGGGACTTGCAGAGGTGGTAGAGCACCGTCCCATAGACCCAATAGAATACCTAGCATACTGGATTTACAAATATAGGAGAAATTTAGATGAAGAACAACAGGTGAATCTTTCTGCATTTAAAATAATTATTATTACTCTTTTACAATCTTTAATGATAATATAGCCAATATTAGTTTAATTGTTTTTTTCTGATTTGTAAATACCATGCAATGGTAGAGGAAACAAGAGAACGATGAATTGGTGCAACAGCGTGAGGAAGCCATGAAAGAACTGGAAATGGTAGGAAAAATGAAGGAAGAAGAACTCATGATCCAGCAGAAATTTGCAGAGGAGCAGCAGGTATGACAAAATATACTCAGTAGTAAAAGTAATTAAAATTTCTATCAGATATACTTTGCTTTGACACCTCATAACCAATCTAAGTATGTATCATTTGCGTGATGTATTACATGGTCGATGTAATGGTGGGACAAGAAAGCAGCATAAAAGTAGTATAATGTGACTTGCATAAAGTGATTGTGTGCCAAATAATAAGTGGCATGAGCAGCCAGAATATAGAAGTAGCTAAGTAGGGAAACTGATTTTTGCAGTATGAATCCTTAAATAATGTAGAACCCTGAGGCAAAGAATACTCAATGTAAGGCTTCTCTACTTACATCAGTAACTTACAATTGGCATGTCAGATACTAGGGTTCAAATAGGGCTGTCAATTGCAGTTAACTCATGTGATTAACTAAAAACAAAAGGCACGATTAAGCAAAGTTTTAATTGCACTGGCAAACAATGATGAAATACAAATTAAAATTTATTGAATATTTTTGTAGAAAATGTAAGTATTTTTCATTTTCAAGAATATATTGATTTCAATTACAACATAAGATCAACAGTGTTTATTTATATTATTTTTGTTTACAAATATTTGCACTATAAAATAAGATACAGTATTTTTCAGTTCACTTCATACAAATATTGTAGTCCAATATATCAATGGAAGTGCAACTTGCCAATGTAGATTTTTTTTTTTTTACATAACTGCAGTCAAAAACAAAACTATGTACAATGTAAAGCATACAAGTCTACTCAGTCTCACTTCTTTTTCAGACAGTCATGAAGACAAATTGGTTTACATTTATAGGAGATAATGCTGCCTGCTTCTTATTAACAACTTCTCCTAAAAGTGAGAATAAATGTTAGTTTTGGCACTTTTGTAGCTGAATTGCAAGATATTTACCTCCCAGATATGCTAAAGATAGCTACAGCCCTTGACTCAAGGATCAAGAATCTGAAGTGCCTTCCAAAATCTGAGAGGGAAAATGTGGAAAGCATGCTTTTAGAGTTGTTAGCAGATAATGATTTAAAGATCTGACTCACTAAAATGGGAGGAAAATGAAAATCAGACTATAATTCAAAATGTAAGGAAGGATTCAAAAAAAGAAAAGGATGAACTTGTGTGTGTGCTTCAAATGGTGTGGCATCTAAGGGTACGTCTACACTGCACGGCTATTTCGGGATTCTGGAGGTATCCTGAAATAGCTACCCCATGTAACAAGCCGCCCATTATTTTGAAATATTTTTTGAAATAATGGGCATGCTATTTTGGCATCCCAATAAACCTCATTCCAGGAGGATTAAGGGATGTCTTGAAATAGTGCGTTATTTTGAAATGTTGGCATTGTGAAGAGGCGCCAAATTTCAAAATAGCCTATTTTGAAATACAATTGAAATAAGATATACAATTTGCATAACACAAATTGCGTATCTTTTTTCAAGTTTAGGGAGTTGTGTAGATGCACCCAAAGTTAATACGCTGGCCAACCATATTGAAGATTATTTGGAGAGCAAATGACACAAGATTAAAACAAGGTGAAAATAGAAACAAGCAAACATTCGAATTAGCATTTGTTTGGAAGTGGCAGAAAGAGCAAGATCAAAATGATGTAATAAGTGAATTTGAACATGCTCTCTGCTTTTCAGGGCAGCTGCTAAGTCTTGCTGATGGTTCTTTGGAGGACTTTATATGAAATTTCTGTCCACCTGCAAAATCTTTGCTAAATTAATTTAATGACATCAAGAAATATTTGGAGGAGAATGATGATGCTCGGTCCAACCAAATTAGAGAGAGCTTGGCTGGAAATATAGTTCTTCGATTTTTGACAAATTACCATATGTCTTTGACTGCCCACTCTTCGTGATTTTGTTTTCATTTTTAATTTTTTTCTGGAGAACGCTGTGTTCATTTATATAGTTTTGGAGTTTGTAAAATCAGCAAACAGTTGCAGCTTGTGTCAGTAAAACTTTAAATGAATATGCACTTACCTGGAAGGATGTGGCACCAGTGAATTCTGACTCTGCTTCTTACATGCAGTATGAAGCTGAATGAAAAGCTTAAATTGTTTTGCCCAGTTCATCTGCTGCATGTTGCCAGTTTGTCATTCAACAAATGTTCCCAAAATGGCTGATTTAAAAAAAAAATTCATAAAAGATACAGATGCAGTTTTCAAGCATTCAAATAATAATTTAAAAAACCCTCTTCTGTGATATTTGAGAAGAGGTTGCAGTTGAACGTAGCATTGTTGTACCAACAAGATGATTTAATCTGTATGTCTATGTCTATACTACATGTTTTTTGCACAAAAACCGGCGGAGCATCCGCACCTGAAGCACGTTTTTGTGCAAGAAAATCGACAGAACACAGGACTTTTGCTGGTAGAATTATTCCTCTCGCCATGAGGAATAACTGCTTTTTGCGCTACATCTCTTGCTCAGAAAGGCAAGTATGGACACTCCAGATGGGTTTTTGCACAAGAAACCCCTATTGGAAAAAGCATAGGTGCTCTGATGGCCATCAGAGCTTTCTTGCGCAAGAGTGTCCATGCAGTGTGGACACTCTCTTGTGCAAAAGCACATTGCTTTTGCAATGCGCTTTGAGTCTGGACGCATTTTTGCGTAAGAAGTTTTTGCACAAGAACTCTTCCACGAAAGGCTTCTTGCGCAAAAATCCTGCAGTGTAGACTAAGCCTATTTGACTACATAGAGTTTTCAGAAGGTAATGGGCATCCTAATGCAAATTTTAGATCACAGATGTTCACCAGTGGAAAGTCTGAAAAACTGAAATCTCACATGGCTAAACAAGAAATTAGGCAAAGCCTTTATACAAAATTTGAATTCCTGATTGAAACACTTAAACCACTACATGAAGTACAGAAGAAATTGGAATTCTGTTCTTTAACAGATGGCATGTTTTCTAATATAGATAATACATGGCATTGTGATTAGCAATATCTCTGCATAACTGTCTCACAAAAGCTCATCTGGAGAGATTCCAAAAAACCCCCAATTTTTTTCATGTCTATTTCACAGTCACTGAGCAGGATCACCTCACAAAATCTTTCGGAAGTTTTTACAAAGTGCTATCAAAGGAGGGGGAAGCTATTGTAATTTGCAATGTGACCCCTAATGCTCTTCATAGAAAATAATCATTCTGGAAAGTCATTGTGCTGTTTCACCTTCATTGTAAAAGTGTGGCCTCACCTGATACATTTAAAGAGTATACTTGTATAGTCTCTGCCTCTGTGGCTTCTAATGAAGAAAGTACAAAACTGGAAAGTTTATTTTGTGCCTGTATGGCGATGCCTTCCCCTGACCACTACTCTATCACTCCTCTTGAATTTGGGAAAACCTACCACACCAACTGTCCAACTTTGAGACTTGTTGCCTCTCACATCCTCAGTATCCCATCTGGCTCTGCTGATGTGGAAACAATATTTTTGAAATTTGGCTACATCGAAGACTAAAGAAGGAAAGAAAAGATTCCTTAAAATGATTTCTGTGAGCATACACTACAAAGAGGGTTTGGAAATTACATTGAAGGACTTCACGTAAGACAAAGAGTGTATATGAGTATTTTAAAATATTGGGCCCAGTTATTAAATATAAATATTTATAGACTAACAGTCCTAAATCAACTGTTTATTTAAATGAAAAGTTTTATTTGGAGTTTTTATTTGGGAATTTTATTTAGTGATAAATTGTTTTCTTAAGCCGAGATGTAGCACTGAGTTCTGTTTTAGTTCTGCAGAAAATCACGTTACTTTCAAGAATGGAATTAATTTATTTAGCAAATGCTTCCCTCCCCCCTCCCACCCCTTCCTTCCATCCACCAAAGTAAATTGATATTTACCTACAAGAGTTAGTAAATTTTTTTGCATTGATCTTTCAACTGTTTTTGTTGTAATGATAAACACTGATGCATTCCCGATAAAAATGAAATAAAAAACTGAAAATGAAGGGCCATAAAGATGGAATAGATTGTTTAGCATAAATAGTTAACACACACATCAAGAGATCATTCAAGGTGAACTGGCCCAGTCCTCCAGACATGGGGAAAAATGAAGTTGGGGGGTTGCTAGTAGGTGACTGATTATTGAAATAAGCTATAAATTCATTTTCTCTAGCAATGTTCACTTAAATTTTTTCCATCCTGGTGCAGACTAAATTTATGTGCAATGAGGCATGTGTAGATGAGCACCACCATGAAACACATGCTGCCAGCTGTGGGTGCTCTACTAATCAATTGGACGGCATTTAAATCTTTTCTGGGTGGCCGCCCAAGTGCTCATCTTACAGAGAACACTAGTCTCTAGTCAGTCCATGATTTTTAATGTCTAGCAAAGTTATGTGTAAGCTCCCTTGTTAATTACTTATGCTAAGCAATCTGTTCCATCCTGTGTTTAGTTGTGACAGTGAGTGATTTCCCCATACAAGAAGAAGAGCTGTATAAGTTCAAAAGCTGTTTCTCCCACCAACAGAAGTTGATCCAATAAAAGATATTACCCCATCCATCTTGTTTTTCTAAGGCCACGTCTACACTTACCATGCCAGAGACTGATCTTCTGGTATTAGATTTAGCAGGTTTAATAAGGACCTGCTAATTCAAATGCTGAGGGCACCCCCAGTTGGTGCTGTACACCTCGATTTGGGAGGAGTAAGAGGCTCTCGTCGACCTCCCAATTCACCAACATAGCTCATCTTACAGTAGTTTGTCTTTTTTTTCCCCCTTAATTTTTTCTTCTTATATTGCTTCTGTAAAATGACTGCAGGCTCAGGTGGACCAAGAACATGAAGAGGTTCAACTGGAACAAGAAAGTGTAAAGGAAGAGAAAGCAAAAGAAGAACTGGTTTTGCAGCAGAGAGCTGAAGAGGTCTGTCAAAGTTCATTTAATAAAACAATAATACTAAATAATTAATATAATAATATCACAGATCACCAACCAGAGTTTCCCAGATCTATGCTTAGATATCAAACATCCTCTCTGATCAGTGCAGGAATTGTGTATGTATACTTTTATCCTATGGAAGTTTGACTAAACTGTTAGTCTCTTAAGAACATTTCTGGCATAAATGTCTAGCCCTCCAGTTTTATTTCAGATTTGCTGAGATAAGGCACTAGTGTGTATTATAAATCTCTTAGCACTGATAACTAAGTATAAGTGATTTCAGAGTGTAGCTTATTATATATTTGTTTGCTTAGTATTGCTGCAATTGTCCTTTGGTTATTTTTATGAGACAATGTTTTTGTTTAAATGAGAACACAAGTGAATAGCTTCCCTACTTCTCCTCTTTATAAACAAACACATCGAGGTTTTGTCTACATTAACAGTTTTGTTGCTTTTACTATGGTGGTGTAGCTAATAGGGATGTTAAAATGTATTTAATTAAGTAACCATGTAACTGCTGAAATTTTCAGCAGCTACACATGAGTGGGAGGAGCGGGGGAAGGAGACGTGTCACCTCCCCAGGAGCTGGTGTGCATGAGGAGCGGGTATTTAAGATACAAAGGCGGGGATGGGATGATGGCGGTTTTTAAGCTGACTCCCCGCGCATACAAGGACCTTGCATGTAATCGTGAAGGTTTACCACTGAGCCCAGGCTCATTGATTAACCATGTACATGGTTACATGGTTACACTTTCACACTCCTAGCAGCTAATGCAGCAAAACACTCCTACTGTGGAAGCTCTTATGCCAGTATAAAAATGTTTATACTAATATAGGTTATTTTTGTGAGGCAAAGTAAGTTATACTGTCATAAGGGATCTTTCTGCTGGTATATCAGTCTACATAGTGCTTTTATTTTTGTTAGCTTAGTGCACACTAATGTTCTTTAACATATCTTCAGAATGCTTAAATACATGTGTGACAAAATTAACAGAATTACTAATGACTCACAATAAGCTTTCTGTAGGAAACAGAAGAGAAATCAAGGACATTAGCTGAGCTTACAGATAGATTTGGAGCCCCTAATTTGACACGAGTTGAGGAGATAGATGAGAGTGGGCAATCTGATGTAAGTACAAACAAAAATTTTTTTAAGTGTAAGTAATCCCTATATTCAGATTTTTTTTTGTTGCCACTGATGCATATAGAGTGAAGACTATGTCAGCACTTCCATTATGGCCAAAAGAGAGTATGTGGGCCATATTCTCCAGAACTTCTGAAGAGAACCTGATCCTCAGTGCATGTTAGAGCAGACTTCGGAATGTTCTTTCAGGCTGTTGGCTACCAGTGGCCTCACAGGCCCTTCCCAGAGCCAGGGATGAGCTGACTATAGGAACTCATTTGTCCTGACACATATTCCCGCAGCTGTGCCTTTTTCAGCAGATGAAGAAAACAGTAAGGCTACATCTACACTGCAGGCTTCTTGTGCAAGAATAGCTGTTCTTGCACAAAAACTGCACGTGCGTTCTTGCGCAAATAAATTTACAGTAAAACATTGGAATAGAGGGCTTCTTGTGCAAGAGTTATTCCTCTCCCCACAAGGAATAAGCTCTTGCACAAGAAGGCAGTGTGGACCGGCAACCGGTGTTTCTTGTACAAGAAATCCCTATGGCTAAAATGGCCATCAGAGCTTTCTTGAGCAAGAGAGTGTCCACACTGCCATGGACGCTCTTGCGCAAAAGCACATCTCTTGCACAAAAGCACATGTCAGTGTGGATGCACTCTTCCGCGAGAACTCTTACACAAAACAGTTCTTGCACAAGAAGCCTGCAATGTAGACGTAGCCCAATAGTACATTCTTTTTGCATTCTGCAAAGATACTGTCAGTGAGTTTACATAAAAACTGGGGAATCAGATCACTGTTCTTACAGTCCTCTTTGTTAACTTGTTAATCAAGGATAATTTTCTCTGTATAGTCTTATGGGATTTTGTTGATGATAGAGGTGAATAAGACCTAATATGTAATTTTAGTGTGTAGAAGAATGGCACTTTTTACTAAGTTCTGTTAATGCTGGTGAGTAATTTTTTTTTCTTTGCTCTTAGGCTGCACTGAATCTCATGGCTGAATCAGAGGAAGAAAACCTAATTGATACAAAAGTTGATTCCTGAAGTTTAGTGACTTTCTGTAATTGTGTATTTAATACACGGAGAATGAATTTATCAATGATACTCGGGGAGGGGAGTGTGTTGAAAATTAGATAATAAAACGTGTTCAGGCTGCTAATTTAAGGTGAATATTATAAAATAAAAATCAAACTCTAGGAAAAATGGATTTGACATGCTCCTGATTACGAATGCATTCTATACATCAGGTTGTAAATACTGTATCTAGTTTCACTGGAACCAGGAGAGACCAATAATCTCCTCTAAAGCTGATACACTGAATTCCATGTAGTTTACTAAATATGAAACTTTCAGACAAGTATCCCCAAAGCTAATATCCTGATCTTCATGAATATTAAATATTGTTGGGGAAATCTCGCTCCCCTGGGGTACAGAGTCCCCAGAAAGGTCCGAGGCTGGAGGTCAAAACAGTGAGGCAGGAGAGAAATCTAGAAGGAAAACTTTATTATGCATGTATGCGGGCTGACAGCTATTAGAGTGAGAGCAGCAGCAGCCCTGAGAGACAGGTTCAGGGATCCTTTATACAGTATGCTCAGACAATTTAGTTGTTGATTGTTTACTTTAACATATCAAAGTCTCAGCAGAAGTACTCTGAGTATGCTAGAAGTAAGTTTACAGTGCAAAGGCATATGAGAACCTGAGTGAGGAGCCTACAAGGCAAACTGTGACAAAGATAAGGGTTTACATGACAAATTGTGACAGACTAAGAGTCTTCATGAAGTTGAGATAGGAGGCATTCTAAGGGTCTTGAATAGAGTTAAGATGATTTCTCTCTGTTACAGGGAGAGAGGCCTGGAAAACTTTTAACCCTTACAGCAGTTTTCTTTTAGAGAATTTTGATTTCCTGCACAGTCCCCCCTTACACAATTGGAGTTATTTGATTTTTCTCCCACAATATCTGGAAGTAACCTTAGGAATTCATTCTAATGTCCTTGTCAAAAAATTTTCCTGTTCTCATTTATTAGATTGATTGCTGCTTCCACCCGTACGTAGCTCTGTTTCATTAGTGGAAGAAGGGATTCCTGTATCTATGCCAATTATAATAAAACAAAAGGTAGGATTATGCAGCACTTTAAAGACTAACAAGATGGTTTATTAGGTGATGAACTTTTGTGGACCAGACCCACTTCCTCAGATCAAATTCCTCAGAATTGATCTGAGGAAGTGGGTCTGGCCCATGAAAGCTCATCACCTAATAAAACATCTTGTTAGTCTTTAAAGTGCTGCATAATCCTGCCTTTTAGTCTGGTCTAGCTGAAACAACACGGCTACATCTCTATTACTATTTATAATAAAGGTTGTGATCTGAATTATGTAGGATCAATGGTATTACTCATTTTTTGAAAATTTTATGATGCTTAAGTACCTTGTTAAATGTGAGCCACGTGTAGGATAGAGTCCAAAATCTTTCAGATGAAAGGTGCTATGTAATTGTACAATATTAGATGAGAGCTCTTGTCTGGTAAATTCTTGTTAGTAATGGATAAACCTCAAAGGGTTCTAAAATTCAGTTCAAATAGGCATCTGATCATCATCATATCTGAACTTAGCCTAATTTCCTGACCAAAGAGATTTCCCTTTTTCTTAAGAGATTTCCAAAATTCACTGGTTTTCTCCTGGGCAAAAATTCCACTGTTAGTCTTTTTTTAAAAATATATTTCATTATTTTTCTTCCCACTGAACCCAGCAAGTGTATGTGTCTATTTAAGAAAAAGAAATATATAAAATCTTTCATTCAAATTTGTTTTGAGTTTTGAGCTGGTTATTTTTCAAGTTTTATCCAAATGACTTCTGTTCTTAATCAGATTATTTTTCACAAGAAAATGATGGTTCTTTGTTGCTGATTGTCAAGATTGTTAACTTGCTTGCTCTCTCATAAATTACTGACTTGTCTGGAAAGGATACCAGAATTGATAACTGGATGCCTCTTGGTTAGAAAATAAAATAGTTTCTTTCCACCGCAGTGTCTTGTAGTAGTACGGATTAGCTAGGCAATCAACATTCAGTTAAGACCAACAGTATATAATACAATGTTACTCCATTACAGATTCAGTATAATGTACTTTAATTCATATTTTTTGTGTTTTAGGATGAACGAAAGATTTGGGGGTGGCTTAGAAGTTTGATAATTAATCTGTACTAAAGCTAGCTCTAGGATTTCTGGTGCCCTTTGTAAGCTAGAAAATATGTAGACCTACAGGCAAAGGTCAGTCATGTAATAAATATTTTTCTGTCCTAGTTAACCTTCTCTGTTCATATAGCAAAGCGGGTACTAATCAGAAACCTATCAAAAATGTTCTGCTTTTAACACTGTCAAATGAAATGTTCCAAGAAAATCCTTGCTTCTTGTGCATTCACTTCAGTGCATGGTCTTGGAATCAGTCCCTTAAAGTCAATAGCAAGATTCCCAATGGCTTTGAATCATGCTTTAATTTCATGTTGAAAAGTGGCATGGCACTGTAGCAACAAGTAAAAAATATGTAAAATAATCTTGAATTTCAGTTGGCACAAAAATAATGAAAACTAAAACCTATACTATTGCTCCTGTATGGTGATAGTTTTATGCTATTTATTAGCATCTGCCTGTTATAGGAAGAAGTTTGCTATAAAACACCACAGAAGAGCAATAGTACTCTAAGTAGACTCCTACAAACTTTGATGCATGCAGTTATCTTTAATTATGTAAATAGTTCATTAAAGTAAATGAGACTGCTTGTGTGAATGAGTGTTTAGAGGTTTAGATTCCAGTGTTTTGAATTGATGCATATTTGTGTATCTCTTAGTCAGCTTTGAAAATCTCAGCCTTAATATGTAATTTAGAAATACAACTAAAATACAAGACAGTGGCCCTTAACTTGCTGGTTAATAATTTCAGCCATTAATCCCCTATCACACCAACAGGAACACAATATATACTCATTAGATTTCACTCAGTCCCATTCCAATCACTTGGTCTGAAATAAACTGTTGATCTTACACATAACGTCCACCAGGGTGTGTACTAAATCTTGACATCACTGTCAGTGTATGTAATGTCTGTAGCAATCTGCAAATGACAACTTTGTTACAGTTTTTTTTTTTTTAAATTGTGAGTTTTCTTAGGATTTCTTTTTTCTTGGCCCAAATTCTGAATAAGCTTTTATTACATAGCAGCTCTGTTGTAATTGATTTATTTTCCAATATTACCTGGTTAAAAGTGCTTAAATGGATCAAATTGAGGGCCAGGTCATGATGCCTTTACATCCTACAGTTTCTGAATATTATTGCAGTAGCCTAGAGGAGCGATAAAGGGTCTCAGATAGCTTCCAGGGGAATTTCCCCAATTCATGATTAGTATAGAACTGACATATGTGGCTCTTTGGGTTCCTGAGTGAGGCCTGGGTTCAGAGAGGGAATTGCCATAGCTCAACACAACTCTGGGATGCAGAGTAACCCACAGGTAGTCTGGGTAGGACTTTTGCAAATTATAGAAGGGACCACTCTTGCAACTAGCTAGGGGTGCAAAGGTGGCTTAAATCACCCATGCCCTCCCAGCCTCCTGATTGTGGGTGGGTCTAGATTGCAGACGTCCTGATTGTGGGTGGGTCTAGATTGCAGACGTCCTGATTGTGGGTGGGTCTAGATTGCAGACGTCCACACTACTATTGTGTTCTTTCAAAAGAAAATCAAAAGAATGCAGGGTTTTTTCTGACACTGGTAAAACTTATTATATGAGGAAGAACGCCTTTTCCGAAAGAGCTCTTTTGGAAAAAGTGTGTGGATGTGGAAGAGGGAGTTTTTTTAAAAGAAGAGGCCTCCAGGAAAAAGCACATGTGCTCTGGTGGCCACTCCATCCATAGTAATCACAGCTTAAATGCGAGATAGCGTCCATTCAGTGTGGACGCTATCTTTCGAAAAAGCAGATTGCTTTTTCAATGTGCTTTGGCAGTGTGGACGCTCTCTTTTGGAAGAAGCTTGCAGTCTAGATGTATCCCGTGTGTCCTGGGAGGTACAGAATCTAGCCCAAAGAATGGCATTTGTGGTGTTCTTAATAAACACTATTTGATTTAAGAAATTGTAGTTAATTAAACAGAGGATGAAATTTGACCATTGAATAAAACAGATGGCACTGTACTGAGAATGGCAATCAAAAAATGAAACTTAAGTTGCAGTATGATTTACCATTAAAATACACTTGTGGGGAAAGGTAGAATTTGGGATCATGTGTTGGAAAATGTTGGGAACTAAAATATTGACAAAAGAATCATTAGCATGTTCGCTCTTCCTTTACTCAGGGTGGCTGCAGGTTTATTTAGGCTAACATGAGACCCCATATAGAGACAATCCAAAGAATGTGCTGATAGTAGTTTGCTCCTCACAGCTGTTACCATTCCTTCAGAGCTGAAGTAAATGTAAGGAGGAAAGCAGACATGAATACCAGAACAAGGTCTAAATGAATTCATTTAACCATCTAGACCTCCAAAAAAAGAGAAATTCAGTTGCACACAGTGTGAAATACTTGTCCTCAAGGAGAAAAGAGATATACAGATAAATAAGGGGAGGAGGAGGTTCCGTGTTACTTCTGGTTAAAGGGTGGGAATGCAAAGCTCACCTTTCCCCATAGCTCCCTGAGTGTCTGATGTCCTAGAAAATGAAAAGATTATACCCAAATTTGTACTCAATTGTCATGCTTAGAAGTGCAGAATTCTGCAATTAAACTCAACCCTTCAACCTTAAATCATTTTCTTAATAATAGAAAATGAATTTTGTGCCCCTTTTGTGATAGAATCAGAGAAATATACAGTTCTAAAGGAAAGGTTCAGTCATTTCCTTTGCAGCTTTTTTTCATTCAGGTCAGCCCAAAGGACCTTATTAATGTATGTTTAAAGCTCTTGCAAACAAGTGGCTAATTCTAGAGTGGCTAACAAGAGTGTTGCCAGAAAATAACTGATGCATGTGAGCCCTTCCACTAAAAATAGGTCTGAAATAACTCAGTAGTATAATGTGCCATTGCAAAAATGGACGGAGCCCATTAGGACATATGATATCATAGTTTTGTCAAAAGGTTTAGGACAAAGTTGTTTTCTGGATTGTCTTCTGATCCAATAGAACTCAAACTGCTAGCTGCTAACAAATCTCTGGCAGGTCTGGGGCCTGGATAAGAAAACTGTCATGAACAAAATGGATACTCCAGATTCTTTCTCCAGACCTGAAGAAGAGCTTTGTGAAGCATGAAAGCTTGTCCCAACAGAATTCCATCCCAGAAAAGATATCACCCACCTGGTGTCTAATCATGTACCAAACTATTTTTTCAAATATATGTCTCAGAACACAGAAACCTGGAAATGGGAAAGTTAGAATTGTGAGTTACATGTAACAGTTGTTAGTGAAATTGACTAGCCTGATTATTAGTTATCTTCACTCAGTAGAGACTCTTGAGGCTATGTCTAGACTATGGAGTTTTTCCAGG